CTACTACCACAACTAATTTGAGGCCAATATTTGTCAAATTTAATGCGTAATAGCAATTTATCTGTTTGTTAAAATCAACTAGCTCAAACGGCCATCTTGAATTAGGAAGATTTTTAAGTTAATTCTTTGTAGATGTACATTTATAAACTGAGAACTAAGAGTCTCGTTAAAATCTGTTCTCTGGTTCATAAGATATTTGCTAACATGCAGAGGAATGAACAGGTTCACACAGACACATGATGGGCTGCTTTTCATGGTGGCAGCTATTAATTAATAAGCAAACATTCCAGTGTTCACTCTTTGGCTGTTATAATTATGTTGCGCCTAATTTCTTGTTGTTTATTTACTCCACTAGAGCATTTATAGGAAACTGGCACTCTCAATAGCAGATGTTCAAGCAACAATGAAAAAAGGAATGACAACTTAAGTACATTTAGAAGTGTGTTACTGTGCATGCAGTACAAAACGTGTGAATGGATTTGTATCAGACACAGCAAACAAGAAAAGAAAGGACAATAAGAAGGAAGGGGAATGAATAATAAATCAAGAGGTCAGATTAGGCTAAAAAGCAGAAACAATCGATACACAATCCACACACTCAATGAAACAACCAAACACACATTAAGAGGTGGGTGACTACCTACACACTCCTACACAGTTCCTTTTTAAAAACCTGCACTATACCTTTGTAAATAATGCACACCTACACACTTGCCTTTAATCTTGCTTGAATAAACGTACAGGCCCAACTGACACTGTGGTGCTGCAGAGAGGCTAACACCACAGCCAGCTGCTAACAGATGTTTCTCTTACATCCAAAAGGTTGATGAACGTTTGTTTTTATTTTCCACTCAGCTGCATTTGAAATGAGGCCTCGGAATATCCTCACACCGTGACTTTAACTGTAAGAAATAACCTTAAATCATTTACAGGCCTCTTACTGTTTCACTTCAGTTGTCCAAATTTGAAATTGTGTTTTCCATATGTGACTACAAAATTATGCAGTATGAACAGAGATGGACTAGATCTTCATTTTTAATGGCCTCCGTCTGTCACGATCATTGGTTTCTCCTTTCTGGTAGAGGCAGAGAGGCTGATCCTTTATCGCTGCCTTTTCTCTCATACCTTGTGACTCCTGATAAAACATAATTATGACAAATGACTAATGATGGTATTATGCAGTCTGAATATCATATGTACTCATATCTGTTTAATCAAAGCAACTCTGAGCAACCATTTGAGAAGGGAGACAAGAAGATGTGTTCATGAATATTAAAGATGTCTCTGCACGTCTTCAGTCTGCATAACATGTTAATAGGTTATTATAGTCTGAATACTATTTCATAGCACTACTCCTTTGACTGTAAAACAATAGCTCAGCTCTTTTGAAGTGGAATTCTGTAAAAAAGTTATAAATCATTAATATCTTACCTGCTGTAGATAATTTTTTGAATAACCTCTTTGTGTAAATTATATTTTATAAACCTTTACACCATTGTAAATTTTGCATTACACAGGTATTTCGGCAGTCACCTCTCCTCCACACTAGTTCTCAGCACCGGTACACCTCAGTGCTGTGTCCTCAGTCCACTTTTGTATTCTCTATTCACGCATGACTGTACTGCCAGGCACAGCTCAAACATCATCTTCAAGTACACTGACACCACCATCTTCGGCCTCATCACCAACATTAACAAGAGTGTCTACAGAGATGAGGTGAAATAACTGACCAGCTGGTGTCAGGAAAATAACCTCTCTGAATGTCAGCAAAATAAAGGAGATGCTGGTGGACTTCAGGAAACAGTGTGCAAGCCAGCACCCCAGCATAAACAATGCAGAAGTGGAGCAGGTCAGTAGCTTCAAGTTCCTCTGTGTTCACATTACTGAGGATTTGTCCTGGACTTTACATACAAACACTGTGGTCAAGAAAGCCAGAAAAAACTCTACTGCCTAAGAAGACAAAAGTTTGGTATGAAAACCACCATCCTCACTAACTTTATAGGTGCATCATTGAGCGCATACTGACAGGCTGCATCACAGGGTGGTATGGGAACTGCACCAGTTAGAGCTGGAAAACACTACAGAGGGTGGTGCAAACAGCAGAGGACATTACTGGTAGCAGTCTCCACACCATCCAGGAAATTTACCACAGTGAGTTTCTGCGTAAAGCACGCAGCATCATTAAGGAACACACCCACCCAGCACAAGGACTTTTCCATCTACTACCCTCAGGCAGACGATACAGGAGTCTGCTATCAATTATGAAAAGACTCAAAGACAGGTATTATCCACTAGCTGTCAGATTACTGAACTCTTGATAATTATACTGAACTACTGACAATAACATTGAACTAAGGCACATCTGTGACACCTAATATGACTATTGCTGCTGCACTATGTGGTTGTATCATGTATGTTTGTATCCCTGTATCATGTATGTATGTAAGTATGTCTGTATCATGTATGTATGTATGTATGCTTGTATCATGTATGTATGTATGCCTGTATCATGTATGTATGTATGTATGTATGTATGCCTGTATCATGTATGTATGTATGTATGTCTGTATCATGTAAGTATGTATGTCTGTATCATGTATGTATGTCTGTATCATGTGTAGTGAGTCACGTGGGTACGTGTCACTTGTTGTAGTATGACAATATATCCCCGTTTATATGCATACTATATTCACGAGTTCCTCATCTTTCTGACTGTAATGTCGTGTATTGAATTTAACAGAAATGCGAACGAGAG